GGGGGAGTACCGGAGTTCCGCTTCCCTGAGGGTCTTGCTAACATAGAAGATGGCATGTTGGATGCCATCCTCTTCTCGGATGAGTACTGAGCTGATGGCCGGCGGGCTAACACCCAAGTAAAGGTACAGGATCTCCCCCACCTTGGGTTTAGAGAGCACAAGGGGCGAAGATAAGTACCGTTTTAGTTCCTCGAAGGCCTCCTGACATTCTGAAGTCCATTGGGAACCAGCGGTTTTCCTCATGATCTGGAAGAAAGGTAAGGACTTCTCCGCCGATTTTGATAAGAAGGGATTGAGGGCTGCCAGGCGGCCCGTCAATCGTTGGACCTCCTTTACATTGCGTGGGGGCTCCATGTTGATGATGGCCTGGATTTTCTCGGGGTTGGCCTCGATACCCCTTCGGCTCACCATGTAGCCCAAGAATTTGCCCCCCTGGACGCCGAAGGTACACTTCTTTGGGTTCAGTCGAAGGCCAAACTTCTGCATGATGGCGAAGATTTCCCTAAGTTCGTCAGCATGGCTTGCTGACTGCTTGCTCTTGACGATCATGTCGTCAACATATGCCTCCATGGTACGCCCTAGGACAGCTTGGAATACCCTGGCCACCATCCGAGTGTAGGTGGCGCCTGAGTTCTTTAGGCCGAAGGCCATGACAAGGTAGCAAAAAATGCCCTCGGGAGTCATGAAGGCTGTTTTTCCAGCGTCTTCCTCATGCATGTATATTTGATGATATCCGCGGAATGCGTCGAGGAATGACATGATTTCACACCCCGCGGTTTCATCCACAAGTTGATCAATATTTGGCAAAGGAAAGGGGTCCATGGGACACGCCTTGTTGAGATCCGTGTAGTCCACGCACATGCGGAATGAGGGTGGTTTCTGTGCGAGGACTACGTTTGCCAGCCATGAGGGGTACTTCACCTCCTTGATGTGCTTGATAGAGAGGAGCATGGCGACCTCCTTCTTCACAAATTCCCTCCTCTCGGCCGAGAGGGGTCTCCTCCGCTGTTGTACTGGTTTGGCCGAAGGGTCAACCGAGAGGCGGTGGATGATGACCCTTCGGCTGATCCCCGGCATGTCCTCCGGCCCCCATGCAAAAACAATGGAGTAGGCGCGGAGGGCGCTAATGATGCCGGTCTTCAGGTCTTCGGGGAGCTTGGCTCCAATCTTCACGACTCTCTCCGGCTTGGCCGGATCGAGCGCGAAGTCTTCTACCTCCTCGGCTGGTTCAGCCCTCGGCCTCCTTTCTTCCGCTTCCACAGTTCCGGTGATGGTGTCAACGCGGAACTCCGTCTTGCTAACCTTTTTTGTTACTTGGAGGTAGCAAGCGCGGGCAAGTTTTTGGTTCCCCCTTGAGTAACCGATTCCCCCCTCGGCTGGGAACTTGAGGCAGAGGTGCCTCATGGAGATGACAGCTTCGAGATCCTCGAGGTCTGGCCGGCCGAGGATGATGTTGTGGGCGCAGTCGATGTTGACGACGACGAACTCCACTTCGAGCTTGGCTCTATGGAGCCCGTCGCCGAAGAGTACCGGGAGGGTTATAACCCCCTCGGAATCAATGGTGTCGCCGGTGAAGCCGGCAAGAGGGGTCTTGATGGGCCGAAGGGACCCCCTCTCCAGATGCAGCTCTCTGAAGGTGCTGAGGTACATTACATTGACGGAGCTGCCCGTGTCAATGTAAGTTCTGTGAATAATAGTGTCGTTGATCTCTGTGCGGATGACGAGGGCATCCCTGTGCAGGGAGGATACTGGGGGGAGATCAGCGTTAGTGAAGATAATGGGTTCCTCCCTCAGCCGCTTTACTGGGGGCATATGAGTGACTTACCCCACGTAAAGTGATTGAGCCCACTTCTTTCGTTGATTCGTAGAATCACCCCCGGTATTTCCCCCCGTGATCATGAGGATGTGGCGTTTCTTTTCTTGGTACCGGGGGTACTCCTCCTCCTCCTCCTCCAGATTTCCAATCTCCCTCTTCTTGCGGAAGGAGATGGTGTTGGGGTTGACCCAAGCGTTTGCCCTCACAGTTTGCCCTCGGGTTGGCCCTTGGTGAGGGGGGCCCTGTTGCTGAGGGCCCTGGATAAACTGGGACAGATGGCCCGCTTGTATCAATCTTTCGACGGCCGTCTTCAGTTGATGGCAGTCATCGGTCTTGTGCCCCTGGTGTCGGTGAAAACGACAGTAGGGGTAGTTTGGATTGACGACAAATACTTCCGAGGGTGCGCGTGAATCTCGCTCCACTAGGCCCCTCTCCTCAGCGAAATCAAGAATGACGCTGACGGGTGCGTCAAAGGTGTCCGAGGGTGCTCCAGGAGGACAGGCTGTGCCCAAGCCCTCGGGTTCCCCTTGTAGCCTCCCTCGGGCTTGGCTTGGCCATGCCGGGGGCGATCACCGGAGGGGGCAGAATCCATGGGATGATGGTGGGGAGCCCCCGGCCCCCAGTTACCTTTGTCATCTGGCCGGGGCGTTGCTGATCTGGGACGTGGTGGCATTTCTCCACCTCCTCGGCTTCGGCGTACCGGTCCCCCCGCTGTAGGGCCCTTATATAATGATGAGGCTCCTCGAGAAGTTCCCGGGGCAGAGTACCGTTTGGAGGAGGGCCAGGAGGGTCCCGTCGTCAGCGCCATCAACTTTGTCAGCCTCCGTTCTCCAGCGCTCCAGGAAATCCCGAAGGGTCGCCTCCTTCCTCTGCCTCACTGTCAGCAAGTGGGAGAAGTGTTTTCTCGTGCGGCGCCTTCATGCAAATTGCGTCAAGAATCGCTGGGCGAGTTCTTGCCATGAGTCAATGCAGCCCTCGGGCAATCGATTGAACCATTCGTAAGCCGACCCCTTTAAGGTGGAGAGGAACCAGTGGCACAAATATTCATCTGACGCCCCCACCATCATCATGTTGTTTTGATACCTGCTGTAGTGCTTTTGGGGGGTCAGTCTTTCTGTCGTAGGGCTTGATGAGCTGCCCTCGGTATTTTTCCGGGATCTGGGCCGCCAATACCCTTGGGGTGAGTGGCGTCCGGGTTCGGAGCTGTATGGTGGGTTCCCCGGAGCCCTCAGCTATTTTCTTCTACATTTCCTCCATCTTGGCCAACATCGCCTCATACTTTAGGTCTGCATGAGGGGAAGAAGTGGCGGCGTGTGCTTTGGTGGCCTCCATCTCGTCAAGCCGGCGCTGGAGGGCCGCAATGATTTCGTCCCGGGGGTCCTTCGAGAGGGCCTCCGCCCCCTGCGAATGGACCCGGGCCGAGTGGGCCTGGTTGATTTGGTGGCGTGCGTCGTCGGCATGGAGAGGTGCCTTGCCCTTGTCCTGAGGGGGACGCCTTTCATTGGCCCTGGAGACGGACCCGCCACTTTCCTGAGGCCTCTAGAACGCCTTCCCCCCGAGGCGGTCTTGGACTCCTCGGCGGTCTTGCGCCCCTCCGAGTCTCTCGAGGGCGGAAGTCCGGAGTTGTTCCTTGTTCACGTTGTGGCGGTCCCGGGACTGGACTTCCTGGGAGGCCGTATCTTAGGCCACGACCCCCTCGTAGTTCCGGAGGACCGGGTTACCGAGGGGTCGTGGATGAGGGGGAGGCATAATATTCTCCCCGACCTGAGGTTGGTGGGGAACCAAAGTGCCAAAGGCACCCGAGTTCTGGGTGAGCGTCTGGATGAAGGTGGAGAGCGACGATTGCACGTCGATTGTGATGACCGGAGGGCTAATTTGATTCTCGCTCCGATCCTTTTTCTTGGCCTCGATGCCGAGGCGGGCATCAGGGGCATTTTGTTGAATCTGCTGGCGTAGGTCGACAGCCGTCTGGTCCAACCCGGCGATGACGCCTCCCCCGGGAGCCCTGTTAGAGGCTTCGGGGACGTCGACCTCGCCGAGGGCCAGGTTCCTGTCCTCTACATTCTTGGAGTTGGCACGAGTTGTTCTCACCATTTTAGCTAGGTGTTTTGTGTTCGGTCGAGGGGGAGGGTTTCTTACTTGATTGTTCGACCTCTCAACGAGAGCACCAAATGATGGATAGTGTACCCGGGGGGTAGCTTATCCGAGGGGTTATTGCGGGGAATAACTAGAGAGAAGTCAGAGCAAGTAAGTAGAGAGAGAGAGTATATTAGAAATGTATTCAGTGTTTTCAGCGTGTTGTGTCTTGGTTACAAATGGGGAAATGGGGTGCTATTTATAGTAGTAATAAATGCCAGACAGGGACACGTGTCAAGCGTCCATTGGCCCAGAGGTCACCTCAACTGGTTGGCGTTGGCAGTCGCATGTGGCCGCATTTAATGCGGCTGTTGGATGTGACGTCGTACTGGGTACGGTGATCCATACGCATGTGGAGTGGATATCATGTCGGAAAAGGTGCCCTCGGCTGTAGATGACTAGCCGAGGGCTCTGAGTACCGGGGACCCCTTTAGTGCCGAGGGCTCTAGGTGCCGAGGGCTACTGATTTTCGCCGTTTTCTCCCAGTAACTTTGTTTTCCTATTTTGACCCTCCTGTGAGAATCAGAGCCTTCGGCTAGGGGGCCGAAGGCACTCCTGGTGCGCATCGTGGGCCCCTCGGTACTCTAGGCGTTGTGATTTGGGCCTGTTGTGCTTTCTAGGCCTGTTGGGCCTTTATTGGAGTAGTAGGAGTCTGTGGACCGGGGGTTCCCGGGCCATATATTCCATCATTATTAAGTTGATAATGATGGAGAGAATAGCTTATCAGTCAACTTTTTCACTAAACACGTAACTTTTGATTTCGCGCGTTGAATTGTGTCATAATAAGAAAAGGTAAGATTGAAATTACTTTTCTACCTGTATTGGCTGAAGTTATTGTAGAGAACCATTTAGTTATTTTTTAATATAACTTTTTCCTAAATCAGTAGAATTGGCCAATACAATCATATCAGTCAGAACTTCATAAATATCAGCAAAAACTGCCGATTCGGTCGATTTCAATGTCACCAAATGGGCTATTAGTTTGGAGCCAAATGAAATTGGGAAAAACATGGAAAACTATTTGTGGTTGAGCCCGTTTTCAGATAGGGTCATGTGTTTCATTCTTTATCAAAGTGATTCATGTGATTGAATTCCGTTATCACAAGAGGGTCACACCGTTAAAAACGTCTATGAAAGACGGTTAAAAGTAACTCCAATTTTCAAAAGTGCCCGGAAAAAATTAAAAGATAAATACCGAAAGGTGCACCCCTACAAGATGACCTCCAAATCACCTTCTTCTTTGATACGCTCTCATGTAGTTTGTAGGTCGTTTAGCCTGCATCAAAGAATCGAGTCCTTCCCTTGAGGTCGTCTTGGTAAGCCGACTGTACTGAAAGCGGCAGATTTTTGGTTGGGTGAAACATTATTTTGATTCTGTTTAATCCGTCCTGTTCTTGTTCGTGAGCTGTTCGGTTTTGTTCCCTGTAGTTGTGGGTGATCCTTAGCCGGAAGCTGCCTCGCAGGTGCCTAATTCTTGGGATTTCGTCTTGGTATTCTACATGTAGTTTCTTTCTTCCTTGTGTTGCTTGTACGGTTATTTCTGAATCTGTTTGGACCTCAAATTCCGCATAATCCATTTCTGTTGATGTTTTTACCGAGGTGAGTAATGCTTGTATTTCTGCATGGAGTGAAGATTTGGCCTTTAAAGGGAATGAGAATGCTGCTAGGAGGATTCCGGTTTGGTTTCTAAGTACCCCCCTGCACTGTGAGTGAGTCTGAATGGTGCATCTACATTGAGACATAAGCTTACTCGAGAGGTGATGTTCCATTGACCTTCTGTTTTATTTTTTTTTGTTTTGATGTAAGGCATAAGTTGTTGTGTGAATAGTTCGTTGTCAAAATGTATGTATTCTGTCTTTGCTTTGACTGTGCATCATTGGAATATGTATTTCTTGATTACTGCTGCTTTGTTGAGAAAGGTTTATTGTCCCAAATTGTGTGATTGTAGCCTTTCCATACAAACCACGTGATAATTCCTGGGACAACTTCCCTTAGAGCTCCTTTGGTCGTGTTTCTTTCCTCTCCCAACCACCATTTGAAAAGGTTTTGTCGTAGGTCTTGTTCATTTGTGGAATGTACCTGCAAAATGTTAGAAAAGTATTTTCAAATAGGATGTATTATAGGGCAGATGTACATGTAGTGGTTTGTTGACTCCTCCTCCGAGAGGCATAAGGGGCAGCGCGTTGCCAACTGGATGTTAAAATGACCCAAATTTTTAGGGAAGGGAAGGGTATAAGTGTTGTATCTCTAGAGGAATATTTTGATTTTGAGTTGTTGTTTGGGGATCCAAATGTTTTTTTAGGTTGAAAGTGGATGGGTAGATGTTTCTTACTTGATGGTATGCGCTGGTTAGGGTGAAAATACCATCTGGGGAGGGCTTCCAGGTTAACTGATTATCTTGAACCTCAATAGCGTCATGATTTTTGTCATTAGTCTTGCACGGTTGTTTCCAAATAGGTGAGTCTTTGGCTTTGTATTGCATGTTGCCCAACCTTTGATATCTGTCATTCATGAATTTAGCCCAGAGAGATCGATCTTGTCTTTGTGTCCATAGGTTCTTTAAGTTGAGAGCTTCTTGAATATCTGATATGGATCTTATTTGTAGTCCCCCCCTCTGGTCCTGGCCTATAGTTTTTTTTTCAGCTGCTCCAGTGGTAGTTTTTCATGTTATTTTTGTGACCCCAAAAAAAATCAGCCATATGCCTGTGAAGGATTTTGACTATCTTTTTTGGTATGGTTGTAGTAGCCATGTGATGAAGTGGTATGGTTGTAAGGACATGTCTGATAAGGATTAGCCTCCCGCTTTGATTCAGAATCTTTTCTTTCCATGAACTCAATTTCTCCTCTATCTGTTGCACAAGCTGGGTGCAATGTTGCGGCCTGGTTATGCCCTGATGAATGGAAGCACCAAGATACCTGATGGGTAAGGTAACCGTTGTCATTTCGGTGAGCTTTTCAATTCTCCTTTTGTCAACCATTTTGAGATTCTTGCTGACCACCACCCTGCTTTTTTGTAGGTTTATCATCTGCCCTGTTGCCTTGGCATGGCTTGACAACAGGCCTTTCAGACTTTTGAGAAAGGAAGCTCCCCCGTTCATGAATAACTGTACATCATCAGCAAATGCGAGTTGTGAAACTGTTGAAACCCCTCCCCCAATATGATAAGATGTGATGTTTGTTGTTGTTGATTAACTCTATGAATCCCCTTGAGAAACATTCACTAATTATAAGGAAAAGGTAAGGTGATAGGGGGTCACCTTGTTTGACCCCCCTCTGTGGCCGAAAGTAGCCATGGGGTTGACCATTGATAAGGATGGAGATGTGAGTGGACGAAAGGTTGCTCATAATTAAATGAGTTGCCTGGGCGTTAAGACCAATTTTGTTCAGAGCCCCTCCAGGAATTTCCATGATACCCTATCAAATGCCTGTGCAAGGTCAAGTTTGACTCCTATGTTGTGCCCCCAGACCTTTTTGTCCAGATGATGTAGTATTTCTTTAGCCGGTAGGATATGGTGGTGGATATTCTCCCCCTCCATAAAACCAATTTGCTCTTTAGAAATGAACCTAGGTAATATAGGTATTAAGCGAGTAGTGATAATCCTTGTGCAAACCTTATTGATGAAGTTGGTTAAACTGATAGGTCGATACTGAGTGAACTTTTTGGGTGAAGGGGTTTTAGGAATGAGGACTGTTGTGTTGGTAAGAATGGATTGACATTTTAGACCACAAGATATACATTTACGTTATTTATTCATAAAAACAGAATATTAAGATAAATTGATATTTATGGTTCAAGTAATTGTTAATTTATCTTAATTGATATTAAGATAAACTGATAAATTGATATTAAGTTTACTCTTCTGATTGTTAATTTGTTATTTACATTTGTGTATTTTATAAGTCATTTTTGTAAGGTTACATATTTGAAAACCATTTATATATATGAGTACTTATTTGAAATTATAATAAACGTAAACACCATTATATGAAAAGCCTTACTCTTGATCCGGTACTCCGACTAGGATACTCCTGTTCTGTTTAGTGTACTATGTATACTCCTGAAATTCTGTTTAGAGGAAATAGTGCTCTCCTGTTTAGTGTACTGCGTACACTCCTGTTCTGTTTAGAGGAAATAGTGCTCTCCTGTTTAGTGTACTTCGTACACTCCTGATATAATTTTTAGAGCACTATTACTCTCCTGTTAAGGTTTGGGTCTCTTCGGTGATCCCGTCATTTCTGTTCAGCTAGCTTCTGTCAGGAATTGGTACGTGTAGCTCCGACGATTACGTTTCCATATTCCTTCTGGGTAATGTGGGTACGGACTTCGATCGACCGTACTCCTTATTGTTAGTATTCCTCGGTCTAGGTCCAAATTCTAGAGTTCAAGGCTAAATGAATATGTTTTTTTCAATGATAAGTTTCAGAATAAGAATTATCTGATAATTATGATATCTGAACATGCTTCTGTTATGTACACAAGAAGAATATAATAATTATCTCAGAATACAATTATCTGACATTTAGGATATCTGGGTATGATTCTATTCTGAATGTAAATATCTGTATTTTTATAATAGATGCTCGGTTCACCTAGGTATGTTATATGTTTGTCTGATCAGATGTGTATTATGATATGTTAATATGTTCTTTGATATGTTAATATTATTGTTATGTTATTACTGTACCACTCAGCACATTGCTGAGCGGGTAGTTGTGTGTTTTCCTACCCGTAGGTTGAGCACGGAACCCGCTAGGAGCACAGGGATGGAAAGAGACGTAGGACGCATTTGCATGCCATGTTATTTGGTGTTTTTTTTAATAAAGGACTTTAATATGTCATATGTGATTTTAAGAACTTCCGCTGCACTCCTTGAAGTGTTTTATGATGTTTAAGTTATGTCTGTTTTAATAACATTCTACTCCTTGTGAGTTTGACATTTTCTGGTATTTAGTAATGAAGTCATTTTGGAATTAATACGATTTATTTTAAGTACTAAAATCTCTTATTAAATGTTTTGTGTTTAAAGTGAAAAAAGGGCATTATTTTCTTGAATCACGAAAAGTATTTTTGATTAAATTCGTTCTGATTTTCCACCAAGTGACGCGCCGCTCGGGTTGGCTGGTTGATAAAATCGTATGCTTACAATGCAAACGAGGGGTGGAAGCGCAGAATTTTTTCCAAGACTGGGCAGAAACACATTTATACCTGTTGAAGGCCGGAGGGCTGGAGATTGCAAACATTACATCATCCACAACTGATTCAAGCAATGATAAGGAATTCAATACAACAATAATGTGGGTATTAATGTGGAAGGAGATGAGCACAAGAGCATAATTCAGAGAAAGGGTCCGAAAAGAAACCTGGACAGTCAGCGCAAGCAGAGGGGAAACGGTCGGAGTCTGCGCGGTTTGGTTAAGGCTCGCCTGATTGACACCTGCGATGCGCAAATCCAAGGTTAGGGTGACCGACACTGAAACGAGGGGGAGCTCCCTTGTGCGAATTCAGCGTTGAAGGGAATAATAGACGGGAGGATTATTTGCAAAAAAAAAAATAGACGGGAGGCAAACAGAAAATATTTAGCAGACGGGAGTTAAATGGAAAAATTAATCCTTTTAAAAAGTACACCTCATAAAACACAATGTATTACTCAATAAAACAAATAATTATACCAACACAATTTTCAACCCTAAAATGCCCTAACCCCCATTGAGCATTATAAGCTTTTATTTAAAGATTAAAGAAATTACTCAGTATTTAATTGCTTTCCTTTCTTATGTAGGTGCTTTAATTATCTCATTAATTTAATGTGTAAAAAATGCAAAATAGATGGAATGAAAACACGTGAATTGAGAAACTATAAGATATAAGATGTACTCGATAATAATAATAAACTTTTGTAATTACACCCCCAAATCACTTGTACTCGATTGAAATATAAAATTGTACTTAATACGTAGTAGCAAATCTATATATATATAACAATCGAAACGTGAGGCATATAACTGTTCCCGCCTCTTATCACATGTCAAAATAATGTCTACTCGCAGTTGTCGACCGTGAAGGTAACTACCAATATGCAGTTAACAAAAACTGAATCCGGCATGTCGATTATGCATGTGCCCACTTCCAGAAATTGGGATGCGGTTACATTTTCTAACTCGTGTACTATATAAGCAGCTTTCTCTGATGCATTAAGTTTATTTAAAGAAAAAGGTTTGAATGGATTTACGAATTCCAGAACAAAAAAAAAACGGCTCCATTTACATACTCTTCAGAAATTACAATAAGTGTGACTGCAAATTTGATATGAAGGTATTTTTCATACTCAGTGTTGTGTTTTGTGGTCATTTCAAGATCGTAAATTTTGTTTACGCTTCATTTTAAGCTTTGGCTTTGGATGCAGTGCATGAAATATAACCAACATATTTCCAGCAATAATCATTGAGTTCATGACTTGAGATATTGAATAACTCAATGAGGTCTGGGGATGAAACTGTGGAACGATATGGCAGTAAATATCATTAGGAGCATGAGACCTTCAATTCATAAGCAATATTCTGGAACAACCCCCAATTGAGATCGAAGCACCTGAGCATGCCCGGTTGGAGCCAGTATAACCAACATCAAGGTGCACTACCTTCCTGTTGTTGAGTCTTTCGGCTTCTCTGGCCGGCACTCCTCGAGGTGCCACGTCTAGACAGGCATATGATGAATCGAAAGAGTAAAGGTTTGAACAACCCCACAGTGAACTTTTACCATTGGGATATGATGACATCAGATCCATAAGAGCCATGATGACATCTGAAATAAGGTGTGATTATAATGATGACATGTCGAAGGTTTATCTATCTTGAGAAATGCAATCTTTGCTGAACTTTTTCTATTACTGAGTACATGTAACGTTCAGTCGTTCAAACAATGTGTGAGTTCTATGCCGATTTCAGATTACACTCTCTTTCTGTTTTAACCGTTTTAAAACATTTTTATATTTTTATTCTTAAGTGCTTTTTTTCTCTGAACTTTCACTTTTTTAGAGTAGATGTATACTTCCTTATTGCTGACATATACGAAGTATTTAATTTGTATATACTTCGTATATAGCAAAAATAGGTGTTTAATGATCACAAGCTGTTTGCTTTCAATTTTTCTCTGAACTTTCACTTTTTTAATTGTTTTACGAAAGCAAACATGCCATAAAATGTACAGTATTTTTCAATAATTTGTTCACAAGCAGTTGTATAGAGCGTAACTACGTACAGGTCAATAGCCCAATTCTTCTTTCTTATGGAACAATTATTGAGTTCATTGTATATGTAGTGCTACTTTCAGTGCCTATTGTAAGTACAAAGTAGTAAATATTTTATTTTCTCTTATTTACAAATTGTGTGCATGTGTGTTACTCCGTAGAAAAATGCTAGAAGTACAGACACATTTACAAAAAAACTTACAAACAAGTGATGTGACTATTCTAATTAATAAGTTATGTAAACGTGTTGTAAATGTGATGTGATGTATTAAATAATGTGATGATGTCACATACCTTTTTTTGTAAAAGTATTTGTACCTCTAGCATAACTCTACTCTATATTAGGTTTACATTATACTCTAAACTATTACGGAGTATGTAGTGTAAAAAATTTACAATGTGACGAATTGCGTATTAAGAAATAAAAAAGGCACGTTAATAGAATAATACACTGTTAATGCTTTGTATTTTGTCTTCCTAAGTCAATTTGTTAACGTGCCCAAGGAGCATGTCAATGATAATAATGAACTTTATTCATCACATTCTTCATATATTTTTCATATTACTAATAGTGTGTAGTTTGATAATCCCCTCTTTTGATAATACATAGTTTACCTCGAACTATAGTACGTACCATTATATTCATCATTCATATTAGACTAAGGATGTTTTTACTTGGACTGTTATCCGTTCCAGACCAGACCAAACCAAACCAGTTCAGATCAGATCAGACCAGACCATCAAATTACAGTCCAAGTAAAAACATCCTAAATTGTAAAAATACAATTTTCAAAATATCTTTATTCGAGTGAATTTAATTTTTATGTTGAGTACAAAATACGACCATATCAATAAATAATTGATCTCTTACTCTTTTAATGTTTTCCTTTCACAATTTATTTCAGGTGAAATTTTACTTTTTGTATAAAAAACTATTTTCCACTTATTCTCTGCAATTCTTTATATATCTAGGGAGATTCTTCGAATTAATTATAGCAATAAAAACATATTGTGAATTTATGATCAAAACGTACATAAGTGCTTCTATTTTATTGCATCATATATGTACATATTAGACTTTCCTTTATACAGAGTAGTAATTAGATAAATGTCATAAGTAGTATAACATCAGCATTTCGAAATAGACACTACGTATTATACATAAAATACATAAAAAAAATATGTTCCGTGCAACGCACGGGTACAATACTAGTAGTTGACAAATCAATTACAATTTGAAGGTTCTACTTTATTAGTTAGTAAGGAACTAGATTTGAAGGTTCTACTTTATTACGGAGTAGTAAGGAAGTAGATAACCAAATATAAACCAGCCCAGCCCAATATATAACCTCCACCTCAGCGAATAGGCCATTCCCTGATCACCCATATCAATTCCTTCTATCTGCTATCAAACGCGTTTCCAAACTTAAAACATAGTTCCGATTGAAAATAAGGCCGGCTATCAAACAGAAATCAAACCTTTCTTACATCCTCGGCTCTTCGCTCTTCAACCCTACGGCCTACGCACAGCAGTCATCGTCCCAGGCTTCAGCAGCGGTCGCCAGCTTCTCCAGAGGTCGTCCCCTGCAGCGGTCATCGTTCCTTCGTTCGCCGGCTTCTCAAGAGCACAGGTCATCGTTTCAGGTATCTGGTTCCGGTCTTCGGTCCTCATAAATTTAAGATTCCGGTTCCGGTCCTAACCGGTTCCGGTCCGGTCCGGTTTTGGACCGGAGAACACCCCTATCTGCGGCTAGTTTATTTTAATTTCGCAGGTCTTCTTTCTTCGTTTTTGTATACTTATTTCAGAGCACAGGTCATCGACTCATCGTTCCTTCGTTTTTAAACTGAAACGCAAGGAAAGTAGTGATGGTCTGATGGAGGACAGTGTTTTTATATTCAATTAATTTTTTATATTCAATTCGTTTTTGTATATTCAATTAATTTTTAATATTTTATTGTATATTGTGTAACTTAGATTATTTTAATTCTCTAGTGATGGAGGACAGTGTTAATAATACAACACAATTTCAATAATTGTAAACTTCAATATGGTGAAATAATCTCATGTGGCATGTTTGTACATATATATATGTGTGTGTAAATATATATATATATATATATATATATATATATACATATAAAAAAATTCACAAATATGCATGTATAATATTTATAAATTAACCCCTATATTTTTAATATTTGCGCGTTTCCCCCGAGTTTCGTGTCCTGTATTTTTGGAAAATGGCGTTTCCTACGTTTCCCGTTTCCGTTCTACTTAGCTTGAAACATATAAAAATCATTCATTATAGAAAAATTACCTTTTCTGTTTGTACTAAAAAACATTAGGTTTACACATCACTCACACATAAGGTGATATTTTCCATATTGCAGACTGAGAATTTTAAAAGAGGATCAGAAGAGGCAGAAAGATTGATTTGTATTCATTTGGAAAGTTTTTGCTAGGTAGTAGTAGAATAGTAGATATAGAAAAATGAGTGATCTTTTCATGAAGAAAATACACATGTCTAGAACAGGTTTGCGAGATTTGTTTGGCTAAGAATACACCTGTACCAATGAACAGGCTGTTGAGATTTTATTGGCTGAAAAATGACCGTCCCAATGAATAGGATGGCTAGATTTGATTGGCTGTGTTTTTTACAAATTTAATTTTTGAATGTATATTTTGTACACATTCTCCAAGGCCCAAGCAACATGCTGTCAGGACTTGATTGGGGTTGTTTACGGTGTGTTCATTGATTAACTTTCTTCAATGTTTCCACTGTATATGTTGTCTTTATTTGTTAATTTTAATTCTTTGTAATAAAAGTCTCCACTTTAGCTTATGCAATTTTTTAGTTGGTATACAATGTTGTGTTTAATAGTTCTACTTTTGAGGCTTTTATCTCGTGGAACGGTGGATCCAGGAATGAGGAGTGGGGTGGGCTAAGTGGTTAATGACCTCCTTATTTTATATACCATCAATTTATTGCTTGCAAATATACACGAATTACCTTATTTAGTTATCAAACTTCAATGATACGTATCAAGAAACAACATCTCAAACTTCAAAAACTAAATTTGAATATGGTAAAAGGTTATTTTATAACATCAGAGTTTATTAGGGTTAAGTTGATCACATGATTGTGTACGGGAACTTTTAATTTTACGTAGCATATAAATTCTTAGAAATATTAACACATATGAGATAGTCACAAATTCTTTTATGGATTAATGGTTGTTAGATTAAATATATTCTAATGAACTTATTTTCAGGAAGACACCCCCCCAATTCTTGACTGAAGAGCAGTTTGACAGTAAAATGCCTTATGAACCATCAATGTCTGCTGAGAAAAGAGGAGCCTCTCCTGAGGCATTGGCTGAAGAGGTACCAAATCCGAAGAGAATAGAACCATCTGTATTTGCTGCTGCAGGAGTGCCTATCTCTGCTTCTTTTACTCAGCTTGTCAACGTATGCATCTGTTAAACTACTTATTCTTGGCTTGGCTTTGTTGGTAAAATGATTGTGTGGTTTCAACTTAACTATCTTGCTATACAAACAACAACATGAGTAGTAATAGACTAATAGTAAAACTTACTAAGCTACAATTGCTGTTATTGTTATCATATGAAGCAAAGTGAATATTAAGAACTGTCGATGTTTATTAATTTTGTACCCAAACATTGTCCACTTGTGCGGATGTTTTCATTGCATATAGAGTTAATACCAGAAACAGTCCTGGAGTATTCAGTATTGTGTCAATACTCAATTTAGTCCTACACCCTTAATTATGTTCTAAATGAACTTATTTTCAGGAAGGCAACCCCCCCCGATTCTCGACTGAAGAGCAGCGTGATAGTAAAATGCCTTATGAAGCATCAATGTCTGCTGAGAAAAGAGGAGCCTCTCCTGAGACATTAGCTGAAGAGGTACCAAATCCGAAGATAATAGAACCATCTGTATTTGCTGCTTCAGGAGTGCCTCTCTATGCTTCTTTTACTCAGCTTGTCAATGTAAGCATCTGTCAAACTACTTATTCTTGGCTTGGCTTTGTTGGTAAAATAATTTCGTGTTTTTAATTTAACTATCTTGCTATACAAACAACATGAGTAGTAATAGTAAAAATTACTAAGTTACAATTGCTGTTATTGTTATCATACGGAGCAAAGTGACTATTAAGAACTGCCGATATTTATTAATTTTGCACCCAAAGTAGTGTGTCAATACTCAATTTTAGTCCTACTTTCTTAATTTGGTTAACTTTTGTCCTCAACTTTTAATCCTTTACCAAGTTTAGTCCTCTATAGTTTTATTTTGGCAAAAATGGCAAAAATAGTGTATCTACATCTTAAAAGGACAAAAGTAATACTAGCTTTATTTTTAAGTTTCTTTAATTTCTAATTCTTACCCAACTACCAACCTCTGTTCCCCTGTCCTACTATGCGGTCTAGGGTTGACATTTTAAACCGAAAACCAAACCGAAAAACCCTAACTGAGCAATAAAAAACTGAACGAACTTGAACGGGACCCAAAAACTGGGATCCGAACATGAATCGGTTAAAGACGGGGTTTTGCCTTTTAAAATCGGTTCTAACCCAACCTAACCGAATATTGAAGGGATATTTGATTATTTATTCCGCACAAGGTAGTTAAAGGCTTTAGGCGCACTCAAGGCGTTTGGGGAATTCCAGCGCCTGAGGCGCAAGGCGCAAAAAAGCGCTGTCTTGACTCATTTTAGGCGCATTTCTTAGAAGAAATAACCCGTACTACTCTCCAACAATCAAACATGATGTACCTGTTCACTATATTGAAGCAACTACATTAAAAGTCATGTTTCTTACAAATAGTCTAGCTTCACCAAAATAAAGTCACGATTAACCAAAGTAAAGTCATGATTAAGTGACTTGCCAAAATAAAGCCACGACTCATTATTCACTTAAAGCCTTAAACATTAAAAGTTTAAACTAGAAAATTAAACATAATTAGATTTTAGTTTTCCAGCTCTGGTGCCCATTTTCTGCAGGACTATTCGTCATTAAAATTCGAGTCTGTTTCTTCTCCATTTTCTGATTTATATCCGCCTACATCCTCTTCAATTTCTCCATCACTTTTCTCATCCACAAGCCTACGATTGGTACTTGCACTACGAATTGTGGAATGTCTTCTAGTATATTTTATTGGTTTTTCTGCTCCCGTTGCTCTACTCGCAGCACCCCATGTCAAGACATCATCTTCCTCATCACTGAAAACTAAATCATCTGCAGCACTTCGATGATCTCTTCGATGATCTGATGATCCGTGTTTCCAATCAACCACTCATTACAATCATCTATATTGTCTAAAGCAATTGGATCTGTGATATCTTTGGAGTAAAACGAGTTTTCAAAGTTGCATTATACTTAACAAAAATTAAATCATTTAGCTTCTGCATTTCTAGCATGTGCCTTCTCTTTGTGTGAATCTAGATCATACAAAAAATATAAATTACTTCTTTTAGTGCTTTAAGTGCTTAACAATTAATTCATAGGAGTGTTAATTAAAATGTACGTGTTCAAACACACTCCAGTTACGCTCACAACCTGAAGCACTCCACGTGAGACTAAGAACTTTCATGGCCAATTTTTGTAAGTTGAGAGTTATGCTCCCATACAAGCGCCACCATTCTGCTGCATATATGACAAGAATCAGAATTTATACAGTAATAAAATTGCTGCATTAATCTGGCAGATTGTTACAAAGTATTAATAAAAAAATTGCATGTTACCTGGTGCCTTGCCTCATATATGTATCCCATAGCTGGTTTTCTTTCGTTGTCAACAACTCGAAGAGTTTTCACAAAAGGACCAATAAGTTTGAGTATGTAATAAGCATTATCCCATAATGTAGGCTTTATCATACACTCTTCGACTTGTTTTCCACCCGCCTCTTTTGCCCACTTGCTAGAATTCCAATCACTCTTGGAAAACAATGCCCGAAGATTAACCTTTTGCTTGTAGATGCTCTTTAGAGTGAGGTAGCAATTACAGAGTCTTGTTTTCCCGAGTCTGGTCAGATTTCTTTGCCCTGTGTACCTCCTCATTAAGTTCAACAATCCCACACGGTGATAAATAAAACTAGTCAAAGTCATTCCCCATCTTAAGGTTTTCAAAACCAAAGGCAACTTCCCAATGTCTTCGAGCATGAGATCAATGCAGTGAGCACCACATGGTGTCCAATATACACTTGGCCTCTTAGTTTCTAACAATTTACCACCCAACTTAAATTAGGATCATTATCGGTAATCCACTTAGACCACATTAGCCCCTCCTACATACTCAACAAATTCATCAAGTAGTTCTAGTACCTTTGCACCGGTCTTTGAATATGCAGAAGCATCCACAGATTTGCCAAACACACATCCAGCCAGAGAATGAACTATGAAATTCACAATACATTGACCTGTGGTGATAGTTCAACCATCTGCCATTACTGAACAACCATGTTTCACCCACAGAGCTCTATGTTCAGTTAGCACATGTTGGCAACTTCTTTCTTTAAACATGCAACCGTCACTTCATGGTAGCTAGGAGGCTTCAATTTTGGACCATATATTCCAATTGCTTTAACGGCACATTTATCGGCCATACCATACCTAAAAATACCGAATTTACCGAAATTTTCGGTATAACGAAAAGTTCGGTACGGTATGATACCATACCGAGTCACTTCGGTACGGTAAAGGTATGGATTTTTTAAATTTTCGGTATTTCGGTATATACCGAAATACCGTTAATTTTCGGTATGGTACGGTATATACCGAAATACCTATATACCGAAATAGAATTTGTAAATTTTTAGGGCCAAACCCATTAAATGAAATTATTAAAATATCAAGGCCCAAAATTAAAATAACCCATCTTATAATACTACGGCCCTTCTCTAGTTCTCCCAAGTAGAGGCCTAAATCCCTAATCAAATAAATGGGAGAATTTGAGTTTGCACCCCATGTTTTGGGTGATATTTGACTTTGCACCCCATTTTAAAAATCATTAATGTACGCACCCCATTAGCCCAAAAATTGTGAAGGAGTGGGGTGCAAAGTCAAATAATTTTATAGTGAATTGGGGTGCATACATTAATGATTTTGAAAATAGGGTGCAAACTCAAATATCACCCAAAACATGGGATCCAAAATCAAATTCTCCCCAAATAAATCAAAGTAGAGTCAAGCAGCTTCTCTTCTCTTCAACGAGTGACAGAGTTGTGGACTATTGAGCATTGACGATGGAGATGCGGACGAGTGACGAAGACGCCATTGACGAAGCACGGAGTAGCGGACGACCGTCATTATTTGCTAAAGCTTAACCATCCTGGTAATATGAACAATCAGGTCTATGCTCATTCTATATTTATAAACAAATGATAAAGTATATATTGATAAAATATTTATACGGCGGACGACCATCATATTACCAAAGTAGAAAAATCTCTTATTTATACGGAGCTGCAACAATGATTCAAAGATTTGTTATTACAAACATTAGTTATCATTGATTTATGTTGGATAAATATTCTAATTTTCATTATGGATTGTGTTGAGACTTGAGATATTAGCACATAATTTTAGTATTTTCTACTTTGGATTAAATATTGTGTTTTAGTTTTGGTATCGGTTTATGTATTGATGTCGTATGCTACTTTTGACTTGTTAAAATCAGTTTTTTTTGGATGTTCGGTAGGCCCCTTAAGCTAATACTTTATACGGAATTGCCAAGATTTTTTTTTTGAATTTTCGGTATAAAACGGTATGGGTTAAATACCGTACCGAATTTTCGGTATACCGAAATTCGGTATACCGAAAGTTTCGGTATGGTAACGGTATGACATTTACCAATACCGGATTTTCGGTACGGTATGCGGTATGGCGTTGAAATTTCGGTATACCGTACCGAACCAGCCCTACATTTAAGTGAATGTGATCAGGCAGCATTGAAAGCAATGCCAATATGCCATTATGGTAAAAGAAGTTTGATTTATATTGAATAGCTACGTCTCTTCTTTGCTTATCCAACTTCTCGGCAATTTTCAACTGTTTCAGTCTTCCTTGCTCGCCAAGCTCGACCACAATTTCTGGCTTTTTGTGGATAAAAGCATCCATGGGTCCTTTTATGTTTTCCCCTTCTTTAGAGGTGCCTTGCCCTTCTGACTTCTTTACATCACAAACTCTTTTAAGGTGGCCTCTAGAATCAATTTCCCCTCCTTAAGTTCAGTGTCATTGTCCTCCAGATCATGAAATGCATCAAAATCAGGATGCTCTAGCAGTTTATCATAGTTGATTTTAGCACCCTTTTCCTAGAGATATTTTGAAGTCGCACCCTGATTTTTAGGTGATATTGGACTTTGCACCCCATTTTCAAAACTCTTAGACTTTTCACCCTATTTCCCCTAAAATGTCTTTGCCTTTGCACCCCAGTGAGGAAATTCTCTTCACAAAATGTTGTAGAAAGGGTGCAAATTCTAAAAGTTTTGTATATAGGGTGCAAAGTCCAATATTAACAAAAAGTGGGATGCAAACTCAAAATCCCCCCCTTTTATTGCAATCATTGCATATAGTTTTTTAGCGACTTTTTAACATCTTCTAGGCATTTCAAACAAGCTTTTGCATTGCTATCACCTCCTATTTGATAAAATTTTGCCCTGTATATCCCCCCATTTGTTTCCTTTCCACAGTAGATGCAAGTTATTGCCTTTGGACTTTTTTTATCATCCAAGTAATTTTTTTCAAGCCGGATCATTTTTTGTTGATTTAGCAGCTTCAAAAGCTGTGGTAGAAGTTCTACCTTCCATGTCCTGTAACAGATACACAAGGCAGATATTATATACACTGTATACTTCCATGTATGAGTTCTATATAGTATAAAAAAAGTATATGCTGAAAAAAATAAAGAAAATGGACTGGTAGTATGTATACATGGTAAAAAAATGGCAGTTTGGTAGTATGGACTATGGACTGGTAGTATGTATACATGGTAAA